CCGAAGTCAACTAAAGGGCTAATGATAACTATCAAATCGCATGCCACTTGATATAAATACATTCCCCTATTCATTTGCTCAAGCAACCAATATCATCAGAGTAATCAACTCATGGTTAGGTCAATTACCACCCTCTTCATTTTCTTCCACGATCTCTCTCGCTCCTCCTTTGGGTTATTCAAAGCAAACCTTTGGTAAAAAGTAATTGTTATTCTTTTAATATTTGATTTGAGATAACATTAAGTAAACACTGGCATTCGAGTTCACTCGTTCGATTTCATTGAAAAGCCAGTTGTCAACAGGCAGAGGATATAGTATGAATTACGCAAAAACCTCAGTATTTCAATTATAACTTAGTTTACTAATTTGCCTGATACTGGATTTTTCCACTCTTTTTATTGACTTAAATTGGCAGATATAGTTTTCCTGAAAAAATTAGACAGTGTGCCGGATTTTCCGTACAGTGTGATAATCGAAATCCGCTTGAACGTTCGGCATTGCATTTCGGTATACTTTGATGAGTTAAGTTACTTGCGTTCACCGCATATCATTGGAAGAATTAGAGTTACCTAAATTTATTGTTTTGGTTTTTTCTCGAGAACTAAGATACGGTTGCGTACTCACCAAACGCCATCAACTGTGTAAAATAGACTACAATTAGCTGAAAGCGAATCATAGTATATGAAAGATAATAGGTCCGCCAAGTTACTGCCTCAGGTATGAACTCTTTTACAAGTGACAACGATTTCCTCTAACCTGCTTACCATTTTCACCCATATGAGCTCTAATACAGATCATTACCTCCTGAAGATCCGGAGGGCGACATGCTTAATTTCACGATATTGATGCTGTTGCTAGCTTTGCATCCTCTATGCACATTCAAACTCACACTTCCCTGAGAGTGGCTTTGAATATTTTAAAATAGTAGACTAATTCAGTTGGTGTCTTAATTTTTTGTTAACGTCTTTGCTTCAATGTGTCCCGGTTAAAAAGTTTATAAACAAACAAGGTAACGATGATTCAGAAGTCTGCCCATTCACAGAATTTCACAATTACACAGGGCAAAACTAGGCGGCCCATTTAAGCCCATATTATTTCGCTTATACTTCGCCGTCCAAGTTCTTCTCAATCAGTATTGAGGCCCTTCCTATGACTTTTTCCTGCATGAGAAGACCTGTATCCCCTTAGTGTTCAGAAGACCTCAAGCCCTCATAAGTCTATTATGAGAAACTCAAATATTGCTCAATCTGTGAGGTATGCCACTTTATTATCTAGGTGTGTTTATCAATCAGCAACGAACTCCCTAAACTCTGACTTTGCAGGTGTGCGCGCTTACCGCTGGGTCACAGATTAAACAAACAAAGTAATAGCTAATGAACGCTGGACAAATTTTGATTGGATTGAAATTATTAGTAGTACTATTGAGTAGAAAAAAGAATGATTGGACTTTTAAAATGGGAAAAAACTAGGCTTTTAATTTTACCTATTGGTAAGCATTAAGCCTTTCTTTGAACTCAACAAACTCTATAGATAATTAAGTGACAAGAAAGTTCAATTCTACTTATCAAATCATTGAATAAAGAACTTGAAAGCATTAATATCAAGTACAATTTCAATAGAATTAATCTGAATTCACGAGATATATTAGCAGGACTAAATAAATTCGCAAGAAAATCCAAATAATAAAATACAGGAAGCAAAAATATACCTTTTCATATAAGTTTTATATTTAAATGTTTACAAATATATAAATTATGTCATTCACTTCCCCTAATTTCTTTAAGAAAATTTGGTAGAAATTCCAACAATATTGTCAAAAGATAAGGAGTTTGTGATGAAACTAGGACACATGGAGGACTCAGCAGAGAGGAATGGATGCATGGAAAGACTTTGTAGACTGGGACGACATTTTGGAATTTTGTGGAGACAGCACATCAAAAATTCACGAGCCCTAAGAGAAAGACGAATAGGTGGAGCCTTTAGTTTGTCAACTACTCCATTAGTGTAATGTGACCTCGGATTTATATCTCTTTCAACTCTGAAATTTGAGTCTTGGGGATAATCCGGCTGGGCACGATAAGACATGAATGGATCACGGAATGGAAACTTTTTACAGAGGAGAACGAAAGCGGTAACTCCAAGTGACCAAACTTCACCTGCAGTAGTCCAGGGACGTTGCTGAATCAAGACCTCCGGAGGAGCATAATCAGGAGTGCATCGGATTGATTTGGCTCTGGGAACTTCCAACATTTTAGGAACAATTTCTGTGGCAATGTTGAAATCCAGTAATTTAATACGCTTCTCTTGCCGATGAATGAATATATTGTCAGGTTTGATATCGCAGTGGAGAATATTGAATTCGTGTATTTGCTGAAGAGTGTTGATAGTTTCGCGAAGAATCCAACTAACATTAGATTCAGTAAGAAATTTATCATTACTGGCCAGTGCTACATTTAGACATTCAAAGCCCAAAGAATGAAGATCCTCAAGAACGATGACATATTGATCGTGACTTTTATCATGAAAATAATCCAAAATTTTGACACAACCGGGAACATTTTGTATCCTTTGTAAAAAATGTGCTTCCTTAAGGTAAGGTTCACTACATTCAGATGGAGCATTTCCAAAAATACCGGGAGGGGTTGTATTTATTTCATAGCATTTTAAAACGGCGTGGCGGCCATCTAGCAGACGAACTGCTCTAAGTAAATTGGAGCATATACCACCGGGGATCCTCTCGAGGACAGCAAAATCATCTAGCGACATCAACTTAATACCAAGGCCAATGTAAAATTATCATCATGCGTTACTATACTAAAACAAATTTATATAAACTAACTATTATAATACTTTAAAGTTTACAATAAAATTAAAATTTTGTAAGGTGTATATTTTTAAAACGAATTATATAGTGTATAAAAATTATAATTTTCATTTTTAAAGGGATCATATGTAAAGTAGTTGATTTTATATCAAGATTGACAGTTCTGCAGAGAGGGCTATTTTGTGTTTGGATGTTTAAATATCAAATGGATTAAATTGAAACTGTTCATTTGTAAGAATTTGAAACTTGAAATTTTGATAAAAAATTTATATTGGGAAAATTATGTTAGATAGTTTGCTTATCCCCTGTCAAAAAAATATAAACAATGCACGCAAACTAGAAGAAAACTGGAGCGAAAGGATTTTTACTTCGCTTTCTTTGTCTTGCTAATGAAATGGTTTTGAAAAATTTCAGTTATCAATATTTTACACAGGTTCAAACTTAATTTTCGACATTTTGATGCCATGCCAGATTAAGGCCCTTTAAATGAAAAATTTACATTTATTATAAAATTTATTTTCTGAAAATTTAATCAATTTGAGAACTAATATGCCAAACGGTCTTAATTGGCCCCTGTTCAGATGCTTGCTAACTTAAATAAAAGGGAAAAATCTATTTTGGAGCTAAGCGCTGTTTATTGATTTATGAAATATGGATGTACAAACAGTAACCCCGTTGCACGAAAACTAATGGGTGCCCGTGTGATTAACAAATCTAAAAGTCTGGATGGTAAATCGATTGTAATTTCAGCAATTGGAGATAGCATCAGTATTCGAAATTAACTCAAATATGCTTGATAAAGCCTTTGCCAACTTCAAAATTTGTTTCTTTTCATATGGTTTACTGAGTTTATAAAAAGATAATAATTAAAGAAACAAGTAACAAATATGCTAATTACCTGTATGGGAAATTAAAAACAAATTCTGGAAAATGGACGAAATTAAAAAGCTTTATAATGAATGCTTACACTGCTCAAAGTATAAAATATAGATAACATTTGTAAACTTATTACTTAAGAAAGTGTGTAGAATTAAGACTATTGTCGAAAGAGTTATCCAATAAGGGGGCTAAATTTTGAGATGAACGTGTTAAACCTGGTTTCATTTATTGAGAACAAGAGCAATACTGGATAAAATTAAGTATATCAAGGAATAAACTATAAAAGAAATCTTGGTGTTATAAAAGCTGTATCATGGTATCTGATTTTATAATAAAGCATTATGTAACATGCTTTGTTTAATTTCAATTATAAAATTGATTAAATTAAAATGACATCCCTTATGGATATCGACATTTTATTTAGTAGTATAAATGCCTTTTCAGGCACATTTTTTCAAAGAGAATACTAAAAATGTCATTACGAAAAATTTGAGAACAGCCATAACGCTTTATTGAAAAGTAAACTTACCTTCGCCATTCGGACTTTTACAATGACTACTCCGTTTACTTTAAAGTGCAAATTACAACGCACTTATAATTCATCCATTTGTTGCTTGCTTAAAAGTTATAAAAATAGTTTAATTTAGTGTCAAGTATTAAAATTGGTCAATTTCAAGTAGATTCTATCTCAAATAGTAGTAGACAACAAACTAGTTCTTGAATGGAAGCGCCATAAAGGTAATGAAGAGGCAATAAATTTTCTACTGTTTGATACTCAAATTCCATCAGTCTGAAACAAATATCCGCATGATGCTGAGCTAATTAAACCAATTTTAAATATATTGTAGATTATTATGAACCTCAATGATAATAATACCAACGTTGTTATACACTACTTACGATGTATTTCGAGGTATTGTACTTCGACTAAAATTCAGGGATAATTATAAGGTTTTAAATGTTCAAGAAGTAAAAATTCAAAAATTAAATCAATAATTTAAGTCATCAAAAATATATAGTAATTATCTGAATTCAAAAGAATCTTTGAAATTTAATCATGTTGCTTTATCAGTTTTGTAGTGATGTTGAAGTAAAGTTGTCATGAAATAATGAATATCAAAAGCAAACAGAAATATTAAAGAAGTGCTGAAAGCAGAGAAGGATTAGATCACATGCAAACTATTGCAAATTTTTGTTTAAATAATTAAATAATTTCATAAATTAACAACATTTTTAGTGAAAAATTAATTATGTCTCTAATCAAATCTTATGGAATAAATTATATGAATGTATGTTCATGATCAAGTGACCTTCAAAAAATCCGCACGTTATTAAATTGCTGGCATTAAGAGTCATGTATATTGTCGCTTTATTCAGGCCCTCCACATATATTTTGTTGATGCATTGCACAAATGTAGTTTTCACGATAAAGGCGTTGCTTCAGTCATTATTACTTTTCAAGCTTTTGCAATGTAGGTCTTAGCTTGCGCAAGTACATTGGCAGCAAGCGGTAGTGGACGTAGGCTTGGCTATTTCCGTTTTTGTGATATAATCTGTATGAAATAAAAACATTCAAAAAGCAGAGCATGTTAAGTCTAAGTTGAAATGCAAACTGCTCTCAATGCCTGATTTCCATAGTGATAGCTACAATTTTATAAATTGGGTGCATTCCCAAACTTAGATTTTGAAAAAAACGACGGTTGTGATGATAATAGTGTCTGTTATACTGCATGGGCAAATTTTTTTGTTAAATTTAATAGATACTCTGATATATTAAAATGCATTTATCACATTATGTGGCTATTTTAAGAGCAGTAAAAATTTTATTTTTACCAAAATTAATAATTTATCGATCTTACCATTGGTAAAATATTTTTACATAATCTTACTTATTTAGAACGTCAATATCGCATTTGCGACCTTGGTATTTCTTAGCCAATCATAAGTAAGTCAAATTGGATTGATCCAAATTTGACCAATGTTATCATTCCGGTTAAGTTATTCGTGCCAACTGTGCTTCGGAAGCGTATGTGTACATAATCGACATTTGCGAGGATTTTCTCTATAATCTTCATCTAAAAGATAATATATTGAGCACCATGCCCTATAATTTAGTGCATGGTTATTTAAAGATATGAATGAAACTAAATATCTGTGGATTACTAACATTCCTTCCAAATGTAAAGAGGAGGACGTTTCCCGAGTACTTTTACGGTAATTCATTTTATTTTATTTTTACATAATTTAATGCGTTTATTCATTATTGTACGTTACTTTTATTATTTTAGCCACGGTGACATTAAAGCTACAAAGACTGTCCATCGTAATTCCTGTTTCAATCTCATTGTGGAATACCTAGATCGTTCTTCAGCCGCTAGAGCAGTTCGATCACAAAATATACTAAGAGGAAATACTCTTAAAGTTGATTATTGCGATTCTTTCGGAAATCCTTGGATTTCTTCCTCTAACCGTTCTCTATCCCCTACAACTTCTATTAGCCAAAGATTCGAACGGTAGGTTCTCAACATCCCCGTATTTTTTTTTAATTCTTACTTGTGTTCGCTCTGCACTTCATGATCTGATCGCTATTCTCTGCTCTTAGTTTAGTTTTTCTTCTATAGATTTCTCCTTACCCATTCTCAATATTGTTTCCTTTCACTCCTTTTGGCGCTTCATGTTTTTACCTTCATTTCTTTCATATATTTTGTGAATACGATCATGCATCATCCTCTTATTCTCTTTCGCTGGTTGTGTCATTGACATACCAAATTCATTTTTCTCCTTAGTAGAATTCCACCGAAGGCTAGTCTTTGTTGCCAAACCTTTCCTTTGTTTTTTTCTAATGTTCTTAATGCAATTATGTGTACTTCTTATGATGTCTATTAATCTTTATGCTGTTTTTTGGAATCTCCCATACTTATTTTTATTTTTCGCCTTTGTGGAATATTATTTTTTGCTTTCTCTTGATATTGTTTGACTTAAAATTTATTTCTTATAAAATGTTGTTCTTTCCGTCTGCATGGATAGTCAATTTTCCTACTTGTTGCAATGTTCTATAATAACTTTTCTCGTTTTTTTGCAATTTATTTAATAGCCAGATACTTTCTTTCAATGCTTTTCTCGCAGCCTTAATTATTTTTTTGAATCTCTAGTTACCATCTTTGTCTTCTATAACCTAGTACATTTGTTATTTATATAGAAAATCCTCTGATCCAATGTTGGTAGATCGAGCGGGTCCCAGTTCTGGGCCCTCTGGTCATCATCATCATCATTCTCACCACCATCACGCTACCACATCACAGACCCCCCAATCGACCCCACAGCATCACAGCCAGCAGCGAGGATTCCAGTCTCCCCTTCCCTCTTCAAACATGAGCAGCAGCAGTAGCAGTAGCAGTAATTCTCGTCCTACTCTCTCCTCAAGTAGCGCAGTTCCATGCAGTACCTCCCTCAAGGTCATTTTCACTCCTCCTCCAAAGTATGCGGAGACACAGATCAAACAGGCTCTCTGTCACGAGCTCCATCGATTTGGAAAGACTTATCATGTAAATCTTCTTCCAGCGTCAGTTACTGGTGGACGGCAAACTCGTGTTGCTCTTGCGGTATTTCGAAGGGCTGAGGATGAGGAGAAAGCTTTTCTTGCTTTTCGAAATGAAGCAAGAGGACTTTTTGGTTCACCTGTACACGCGGAATTCTGCCTTGGTAACAGTAAGTGTCCTTGTTATCTCGCCTTCTTACTTTTATACAATTTGTTAATTCTTATCCCTTTTCTATGGGAAGAGATAAGAGTGCGCAGTAATACATCACGCTTTTCCCCCTTACACTACGTTTCACTTTTTATTCATTTTGTTTTTTGCTACATTCGTATTATATATCATTCTCTTGCGTCCCTGTCTTATTGATCGTTGGGTGATGGTTTAGCGAAGTTTTATAATAATGTGAAAGCTTGTGCCCACTTGCCATCACTACCATCTGTCGTTAGCTAGTAGAAAGCCTAACCCTTTACTTCTGCTATCTGAATCAATTTCCTTCCGACTATATAATTCTCGACTTTATTTTCTTAAAACTGCTTCTCTCTTTGTGTCCGTTGTGGCCGAAATGCATTTCTAGAAAACCGTTTTTCCCCTACCTATGGGTGTAGCCCATCGGTTATACCAAGTGTACTGTTTAAAACGCTTTTTCCCGTAAAAGTGGTTTAATAGTTACACAATAAGTACTTTTATTTATTTTATCCATGATGTTTTTGCTTATAACTGTAAAATGTATGCTTATTTTTAATATGTTAATTCAGATCACAATTTATTAAGAGTTTTTCTCAATGTTTTAATGCAAAGAATAGGAATAACGTTCTGAGTTCAAATGTCGTAATTCATTCGTCTCTAGAGAGTTCGTCTTTCCAAGAGCTTTTATTTAAGAAAAGTGAACTGTAATGCACTTGAGTTCTACATTAAAATAGAATTCACCGAATGTTCCACGGACGCCGACATCGTGCAGTTGTTGTTTGGTAGCAGAAGGCTGGAAAGCGCACGCCAGTTCACTTTTTGTTTTTTTCAACGCTACGCAGGAGATTCGGTGGGCTCAGTATAACAATCAGCCTCCCCTAGTCCTAACCGCCGCCACCTAGTGGATTTGCACAAAACAAATGTCGTGTATGAATGTGTGCTTTTGCGTGTGTGTGTGCTGTTATATGTGCGTGCACCCAAGCCGCCGCCGCCGCCGCCGTGTTGTTAGCCCTCTCTTTCTCTCTCACACGCATATACACACACACACACACACACATTCATCCAGCGATCAATAATATCGCTCTAGTTAGAACTAGCTAGCTAGCCACGTATACCTGCTGCTAGGTTTGTGTTCCAAAAGGTGGGGGGGGGGGGGGGGGGGGTATGTGCATGTTAGGTGCTAAATTATCTCCGTATTGTAAACAGAAAAATTCACATTGTGTTTCGCTACTTCCAACGCGACATGAAATTTCAGCTGGGGCAGCTAGGGTAGTTGAATGAGGTCGTCAGGTCAGCTATGCTCTCTAACTCTCATGCTCACGAATGAGCATGAGAGAAGAATACGAGGGTGAAGTTACTTTTATTAGTAATAATTGTGAATCAACCTTAATTTTGCCTAATGATTGGTGGTTTAAGTGTGTATGATTTTTTTATTAGCTTTGAGGTAATTTTTCTTTGTGAAATATTGTTCTATCAACTTGTTCATATCCTTATTGACCATAGCAACGGTGAAATGCATCCAGGCGAGATACACGTTGCAGACGAAACTAGCATTGAAGAAACGTGGGAGGGGGGGGGGAGGAGGTGGGTTATGAAGCATGTAATAAAATCAGGGTGTCAAGGTTCGTCCTTTAGCCATAGGGGGCGTACAGTTTAATGCCTAATTTTCAAATTAAATCATTTGGCCCTCAGTTTCAGTATTCAGAGCTTGCTTTTCCGGTTAATTTAATTCGGACGTGATTAGTCATGCCATCTGGGTTGACAAGTATCAGACGAGATTGTCGAATGTGTTTTTGAACATAGTAGAGCTCACTGGAATTCACTTGTAGTTTCAGCTTTCTTGTATTTTCTCACTATAATAACTCAGGTTAATGTAATTAGCAATTTGAGCTTCGTACCGGAAAATCTATCGGCAGTAGTAAATTGTAGTGGTTTACTTGTTTGTTCAAGTAATTATTGCTGGTTTAGGTCATTGCTCAAACACTCGGTTTTATAACGGTACGCATTAATTTTACTCTTAGTCAGAAACTCATATAAAAACTTGCACACTTTTTATCCCAAATTACGTCGCAAGAATTTATTTTATTCTAATTGCAATGATATTTAACATGTTTTGTTTTAAAGCCCTTGTTGTTAAGGGTGCTAAACAGGGAAATAGATTGCTTGCGTAAACTCTTCCCCCCCCCCCAAATGCGGTATTACTGTGCGGAGTTCTTCCCGCGCACCATTTAACGATTTTCCACGTTTTTTTTCCTCATTCTATAATGCCGATTTTTTCTTTATTATCGGTTTTAAACTATCAAATAGTAACCATTTCAATTCATAATACATTTTGCATAGAAAAATACTCTCCTTGCCTATATAGAGAACAGATTGATCATATGAATGTCCTCTTCAAATCTCAAGGATAGTAAGTTGTTATCATCTGTTTTTTTTTTTAAAGAGATGTCAAGTGTTTCTGTTGCATCAGCTTGCGGTCTGTGTGAATTTTTATGTCCTTGTGCCCTTGTTTACATTACTCGGCTTGAACCACATGTTTTGTTTTTCTCCCATAGATTCTGATACAATCGGTTCGAGTCCGCGTTTAAATCGACCACCACTTACGTGCTCCAACATCCCAATACATTCCTCAACAACAGATAATTTCCCGTCCAACAATAATCATCTCACCTCATCCACAACAATTCCCACCTCCCAGCAACGGATTATTAGAACTTCCTCCTCATCCACCTTTAGTCTTCCCACACGATCCCTCGTCGTTCACGGACTCACTGCTGGACCTAATGGTCCGGTCTCTGAAGTGCAGCTTAACACTGCTTTCCAGAGATTTGGAGCCATTCTAGTATGTATTTCTTGTGTAATCGTATCTATTCCTGCCTTTTATGACATTTCCAACGTTTTCGCTCTCTTTTAGCATGTTCAAATGCGTCCTGCCAGCAATTCAGCGGTGATTGAATTTGTTGAACTCCGAGGATCGACTCGTGCAATGACTACTCACCAAAGGGATCCCCTGAGACTTGGTGGTCGACCTCTGCGTCTCTTCTACACTCTCAGTCGACCGATTAATTGCCTATTTATTAACGACTTGCCCGCATCACTGGCGTACCAATCGGAGGTTGAGCTGAAGAGCCTTTTCAATCGTGTCGCCCCAGTAACTCAGGTTCTGAAGATTACTCGTTCCCAGGAGGCATCAGCAAACCAATCCACCACAGTGCATACATGCGTTCTAGTTGAATTGGCTACTCATGAATTGGCGACGCAATTAATTGATTACCTTCGATCCCCTAGCTCACCTCTTGTTGTAGCCATGCAGAATCGTTCCTCTCCTGATCCTCTTACGACACCCAGATTACCGGCCTTTGTGTGCTCAGTGGATTATGCTAGTCCTCGGCAAATGGAGAAACTCTCTCCGTTGAAGTGAGTTCTCGGTTGATAGTTTGATATCGAACCTAGTTTGGTCAGATTTATTTTATTATGCTTTGTTGATTGTCTGAATTGTGTTGTTTCTTTCCCTTTGCAGCTGATTACCAGATTGATGAGTTTGCTTGCTGTACACTAAGTAGTAGAATTTTAGTAATTAGTGTTTTTTATTCCATCCACCATATGGGTTAATGTACAAGCACCAAGAATAGTCTTCTTTAAATATTATTCAGGCAGTGAAATCGGATGGTTTTAATTTCTGGATATCCTTTTGGCAATTCAGTCAATGTTCTATGAGTGCAGCTTTTGGTTGTTTGAACTTCAATGAGGATTTTTCGGGAAATTTGACTTCACTTTTATTTCTGAAGTGACCTTGAACGTTCATTCCACCCCCCCCCCTCCCCCTTTGAAAATGCCTAGTAGACAGTAATGTTGATTCATGCAAATTCCTATGGTTTGATTTGGTCTTTTGCGCCTCAGTTATCCCTCATCTATTATTGTATTTAATGATTTTGCACCTATTTTATTGGAGAAATGAGTTTGGAATGAGTAATTCGCCTATTTTATTTCAGGTTGAGGACTTCTCAAACTGTGATGTCCCAATCGCAACTGCCGTCTCTTTCATCTATGGCAAATGACAAATCCCGAGGACCTCTATCCATGTCAAGAAGCAAAGATCACTCTCGATTGGAATCTAGTGAGGAAGATCACTCTCAGTCTAGTTCAACATCTAATTCCTCTTCCCTATCTTCATCAAAGCGTTCAACTACTGCAGAGACATTTCCATCCCAGAGGCGGGAAACCCCTTCATACTTCCCACAAAAACGTCTCTTTCCCGATCCAGGAGGGAAAAAGGAGGCTGTGGTGAATCGAAATCACAGTGGAAGCCTCAACTCACAAGAAGAGTCGAATGCCTTCGAATCTATGTACGATAAGATCAAACGACGAACTGAAGGTGAAAAGGAGCGTCGAAAACGAGGAGCTTCGCCCGAACTTGACGATCCTCTGGAAACTACTCGTAAGAAAAAGAAACGACGAAAGCAGCATTACGAAACTAATATTGGTGACAATGACGATATTTGCAACGAAGGGGGAAATATTGACATCAAAGAGACTGAGGAGGAGATGTCGAAAGTAAAGCACAAACTAAAGCACTCTGATTCCCCTGCATCTAGAAAGCATGGTAAAAATCGATCGAAAAATACTTCCTCGCGATCATCAGCTGAAAGCCATCGACAAAAATCGCGGACTACTCAACCACTATCATGCCAAACCAAACCATTGTCAACAACAATCACTCGACTAAGTTTAGGTATGAGCGTTCCGATGACTGCAAATTATCACACTATTGCAAAGACACCCAAAAGAATGTCTAGACTGTCTGAATCTGAATCCTCGTCTTCGAGTATATCTCGTTCTCGAAGCGTTTCTCCATCATTAGGTGATGTGGTGGACGTCAAACACCACTTACCCTCAAATAGACGTGCTTCAGATAAAGGCACTATTCCTTCGGCCTTCTTTGTAAGTAATAATAAAATCAATGCGGGAGATGATATCAACCGATCTCGCAGCCTAAATGATGCTGAAAGTGCGTCAAACTACTCCAGCCCTGCTTCAAGTCTATTTCAAAAGAGACCTAAACGACAGAAGGAGCGCAGGAAACCTAGCACGCCTGTCTCGAATGCTTACAATAAGAAGTCGGAGAAACGCAAAATGTCGTCGGGTGTATTCAAGTCCAGTCGGGCAAGTTCATCCAGTCTTTCAACAGAGGAGGAAGGTGCTGGTTGTAGGAGGTACAGTTCAAAGATTTGGTCAAATCCCAAGTCTCGTTTTGGGGACATGGTCCCAAACACCAATTCAACGGGTGGAAAGCGCCACAAGTCTAAAACAACAAAGAGAAATAAATCAAAGCCTAAAAAAGAACAATCTCCTATTTTGAGTGACACTAGTAATAGAAGTGCAAGTAGTCGCGGTTCTCCCTTCAAGAGAAGGGGTTCTCTAGAAGATGTGTATGGAATAAACGCCTCTACTCCTCTGTCTTCACATGGTCGTCTGCTATCTAAGCTGACTCCACCCTCACGGAATTCAGACTTCCATAATGCTCTTTCAGATGATGATAGTTTAGATGATTTTGACAGGATTTCAGCGAATACTGCCATGACTCCCTCTACGGAAGCTATGGAAATTTCTCCGGAGACTGGGGATGAAGAACCGGAGCACTCGGTTTCGGAGTGGTTCTCTCGTCTATCGGATAATCACTCCGAATCAGAAGTAGAGCCGGAAAAGGATTATGAAGAGGATGCTCGATGTGTTGTTGATGAACAGAAATCTTTGCTAATTAATTTTGAGGACTTGAACATGCTTAATACCTCTAAAGAGGAGAGCTTGAACCTCTCTAATCGAGATGCCATCGGGGATATTAAAATGGAAGATCAACCTTCACCAAGGCTGAACGAGAGCAGTGACAAGTCGAAGTCACTGAACGAGGAAAATTCAGACGTAAAGGTACCTTCTGAGCTGACTTCGTCGGATGAAATATCCGTCAAACCTCAATTTCCATCATCACCTCCAAAGTTGGATCCTGGAGCTTTGCCACCACCACCACCGAAAGTGCTTAATGCTCAACAGATTCCTTCTCCCTACTCATCAAGTTCTCCCACTCAGTCTCTTTGTTCTGCATGTTCCAGATCTAGTCCTTCTCCTATCATAACGGCTCCTGTTTTCACTTCACGTGCTGGAATGACTAATACTAACACAGTTACGGAATTAACAACGTATATGAAAACGGTAATCTCTACTAGCCAGGAGAGTGCAAAGCCATCCACCATTCATCCAGGAATTTCTGAGAACCGAGATCTTAAACGGTATGTACAAAGTGTGATTGAGAGAGTCAAGGCTGAGACCGTGGATGATACGAATCCTTCCACATATAGATCTGCAAATACCACCTCTGCCAATACTCCAATTACTTCACCACTACATCACTCTTTGCCGGCATCTTCATCTCCACATAATCCTCAATCAGCAACTGGCCTCCCACCTCCACCGTCATCAACACAATCGATTTGTAAGAAAGCAACCTCACCTGGAACGGCCAGTAACAGGAGGACATCTGCAGCTACACCTCCGAATTTGATCTCTAGTTCCTCTCCTCCTAATCCACGAAAGATTTTTGAAGCATCATCTGTCCCAAGTATTCCTGGAGTTAATGCCTGTGCACCTCTCTTACTCATTGACCCTCCTACTTCAACTTCACCGAACTCAAAACCGCAAGTGCCGCCACACATTCATGAAACAGCAGGAGTAGAACCCAAGACTCCTAGGTCGGCAACTCGCCGAAGAGCGAAACCTTCAGCAACTGCTGCTGCTTCTGCTCCTGCTGCAAGTACTACAGTAAATGTTGCGCCACTAGTCGAAATTCCAAAACAGGCCACTGACCCTTATGAGCCGAATTTCGATGATGATTCGCCGCCACGGGTTAAATCAGTGGGAAGTTCTGCTTCTCCGCTCATTGTGAACACTTTACTCTCTACTGAGCACCCAGGCCCAGCGTCTACAGTTTCTAGTGTGACTACAAATGATGAAGGTCCGCCGCTATCATCAACTATAGGTAATGAAGCGCCCACAACAAAGACTTCCACTGTGTCTGCGTCAAGTCGAAAAGGTGTGATGGATTCAGTGGATGAGACAATATCGGATGTGTGTTCTGGTCGATTTGATATGAGAAGCTATCTGGAAACTTGGGGTCTTCAACCCCCGACAACTACTACTGGTGTTACTACTGCTGCTTCCATTTCTAATGTTGTGGTTTCGAACTCTGCACCTCCGCCAATATTGAATACACCTGTTGCTACTACTAGTGTGGTTACTACGACAGCTTCTGCTGTGAAACTCGCTTCAGAAGCCTCCAAACACCATGTTGCATCTGCGGCAACTAATAATCCCATCGTTACAGCTATAATCAATGCTCTACAATCGATCACTGGTTCGCCTGTTATGATTGGTACTAGTGGGGTCAATAATACAGCTGGAACGGTGAGACAAGGCAACTCTGCAGCTGTGTGTCAACAAATTCCAGCCAAACCATCCAATGTGGTTGTAGGTTCGAGTCCTCCAACAATATCTGCTACGACTATCACTTTTCCGGTTATAATTAAGGTGAGTATTATTTACTATCTCTCTATTCGATAGTATCTTTTTAAGGGTTCTCGTTGAAAAAAAGAAAAATCTCATTGGATATACCGATAAATATAAAGATGTAGTTTTTATTCACATTTTTTTATTAAAATTCGATCCGCCTTTGTGATATGAGTTAGCCCAAGAGATCTAAACTTTTCGATTTCTAATACTGTGGTTAGAGGCCTGTGGTGTTTCATAATTAATTTAAGTTCTTTTCAATGTACTCATGCTTGAAATACGTTTCTCCACTCTCAATTGACAATACTTCACTTCAAAGTCACATAAAACAGCATTATGGAGAGTACGAAGAAGACTGAGATGTCTCGGGGGTTCGTTTAATCTTTAACATCTTCAGTATGCTTGATGGCTTCGTTTCTGTTGGCGACTAATTTTCAAGGCAATTAGCAGCTAAATGCGCTTATTTTCCAGGAATGAAGATTTAAATTTCCCTACATGATTTCATGATCTCACAATACAGCTCTAATCTTTTGATACCAGTTGGGGTTAGCGTGTCAAACTACGCAATTTCATGGTTCTCAAGAGCCTTTAACGGGGGAGGGGGGGGGGTTAAGCTTAGATTTACCGCCTTGATGCCATCAATCTAGACTCTTCTTCTTCCCATTTCTATCTAAAGTACAGTAATCAATGATGCGAGTTAGAAATAATACGTGTAAAACTTTCTCATTTTTGTGCATTGAAGAGAAGATTGAAATCTTTGAGACCTGGTGGTTACCTTCCTGTGTATTCTAATATTCCTTTCCAAATTTGTGTCTCTCTTTGCATTTAGAGTATTTATATTACCCATTTTTTTATGCTGTCTTCTATTGCAGAACTTCTCTGCTGCAAATACAACAACTAAGACAGCACCCACACCTATAATCAAGAGCAGTGTAGCTAACTCTCAGCCAGTTACCATGACGACAGGATCTATTAGCGTCCCTCAACAGCCAGCGTCAATCCTTCATCAGTCACCACAGCAGCACCAAGTAGACAATGCTGTCGCAATGTCGCGTCCACATTCCTCCGCAACGGACACCCCGGTAGATAGCTCACATCCTTATCGTGTGCGGAGGGGAAGCGATAACAACATAGGCCCTCCTCCACAAGTTGATGATATTGCAGCGCAGCAGAGACCGCTCTTCAACAATCCACGCGGGGGTTTCACCAGTCCTCCTCCTCAGCCAAGATATCATCAATTTGCTACTCCACCTCCCACTGCTCCTGGTCCTCGACATATTCCACCTCCTTGGAATAGGACCACTCCAGGACCTTTTCCACGTCCGGACACGTCGAGTTCTACCACCACTACGTCGCCGAACACTACTTATCCGCCACCACCCACAGCGGCAGCTTTGGTGGAAAAACTCTCCTGCTTGATCGATCATCCGGATTTGGTTCTCCCCATGCTTCAAACCATGATGCAAGAGGGTCAACATTTGGATCCAGAGTGGTTGGGTTCGGTATTAAAGATGTTTCAGCAATATTCACCTGGTGGAGGAGGTGATAATGGACTTCCTGGCCCGCATCCTGGGGGAATCGCGAATAACTCTAATTCTAGTCCAGTTCAGCCACCTTCAGTTAGCTCAAGCCATCCTTCAAGAGCTACTCCGCCTTTTCAGAGATCTGGAGGATTCGATCAGGCGAGCATTTTTTATTTAACTATCTATCCATCAAGCACATTCCTTGCACCCTCTGTGCGCTATTTAATGGTCTAGTAATTGTTGAATTACTTCAAATTTCTATTCTAAACCTGGGGGGAGAGGGTAAAATTTGAAGAACGAATGAGTTAACCGTATATTACGCATAAGATTAATTATTAAAGACACTTTGCTCAGTGTCTCTTCTTGGTTGCTGAGCTGATAGCATATGTTCGTAGTTTGCATGCAGGCTGGATTGAGATGCAAAAAAATCAATCATTAACGTGGAAATATACAGTAAATGGCTTACCTATATTATTTGTCGAAATTGTGAAAACGACTTTGAACAAAAGTTTCTCGCTAACTGGATGCTTTAACCCGAAAGCTCAACACGCTGGACTGGAAAACACTTTGGCTCAAAGCGAAGAAATCAGATATTAGGCGCGCATTTGGTGCATATTGATATCTTTTCTTTTGCTGAGTTTTGTCAAATGAAAAATAGCATCAAAACATGGAAGTAAAACCATGCAAACATCTGGGCAAACATTTTGAGTAAAAGGGCGATGTTATAAATTAGGCTATCTTCTCTCCATTTTCCTCTATAATCGTCACAAATCAAGATGGAAGGAGGCGAGACAGCACATTTCGAAGGAATCGTGAGAACTTAACCAGCACTTATCCCTTTAGTAAGGTCATTTAGGCTTAAAAATCGGACTAATTAAATTAAGTTTTCTAAATGCTAACAGTGCATTTCAGTCTTTATTCAGATCAAGGATCATTTTGATCAACTAGAAATCAGTGGGATGGAGGTAGTGTAACCTAAAAGCAAGAGGAGATTATGATCCATAGGTATGGCTTGTGACTTATTAGCATCTAAGTATGGGAAAGAGTAAGGTGAATAACTAGGACAAAAGTATGAAGCCAAAATCGATAATCTAATGTGGGGAATAACTAAGTGTGCTCATCTTTGCCAATCATTTTTGGTTAAAAATACGTTTTTATTTCTAGACTTATCCCCTCGTATGGCAAGGTCGGCTGTCCCTGAAGAACTCGGAAGTGAGCGTAGCTCTACACTACGTTCAGGGAAATACGGATCTTCTTCGAGCCTGCATTTCCACATTGGCTGCAGGAGGAGGTGGAACTCCCCAACAGGCCTTAGTTACCTCAGGTGGTCCCTTGCGAATTGTTCAACGCATGCGGCTGGAAGCCTCCCAGTTGGATGCAGTTCAACGAAAGATTGGCCAAGAGGGTGCTGCTTGTGCGTGTGTGGCATTTGCTTCGGGTGCGAACAGAGCCGATTTGGCTCAACAGAACGTTGTACTCGAGGAGGGCTTCATTCGATACATGCTTGAAAAAGGAGCTGCTGGAATTATCAATGTTGGACAGCCTGGTTCCGTTCAGGTAAATGTCTTGCTCTATTTTCTATTTCTTTAAGAAAGTGTTTTTAGATAAGGTTTGTATCGTCTATAAGGCAACTGCGGACTCCTTCTAGCATTTGGGAGGAAGCTCGTGGAAATTGGGTTTTGTTTCTGAAAGCCTTAATTTTCGCATGAAAGATTTGACTCATATAGTAGGTATTTGATTGTTTGTTTTTGGTAAATACCCCTCTAGAGCACTATTAAGGGCATTTAAAGTGTTACCTACTCGGCAGACTAAAATTTTTGTACTAAAGGAGTACGTCTTTCAATTATCTAGGATTGGGTGTAGATAAAAGTGAAGACTTACTGCTATAGTATTTCTATGTATCGAAATTCTCTATCATTTTTCGCTATTTTGCCAGCAAGTTTTAGCGTTGAAAACTATTCACCTACTTTTGTCAAATCATGTTTTTTTTAGTAAAAGTCCAAGCGGTCATTCCATCGGGTAGGTAGATCCTCCTGCTTCTTTTCTATTTCTTTCCTTGTATTACCTTTTTTTTAGTTTGTACCTCCATTCCCCATTCGAACAGTTTAGAAAGGGAACAATTTCCCCCTGTTGGTTCCATGACTGTTAGAAAAGGCACAAGGTATATCACATGATGTTCCTAAGCCAACTTTCTGCTGTTTCTTCCTCCTTCTCTTCGAGAAAAGAATGGAATTCGCTCGCTTTTTTTGTGCTTGACGTTTGGTTGGGCGGGAAGAAAAGGCAGAGCAGTACACCTCCTCTTCCCCCTTTCTACCATTCATCAAATTCACATGCTCTATATGTGTATGGTAGAATTATCAATCGATGATCCCGGCATATGTTGAGTGGAGTATACAGATTCTGGCATCCTTTGCTTACTCATCAGCCTGGCTAACCGAACATATGCAAATCTCCTAAATTGCTGCGTTCTGGCCTTGCCTTCTCCCCTCTCCCCCCCCCCCATCCCAAATAAAATTATTGCTTTCGGGGAGTGGGAAAGGGATTGTGTACCGCCTATTCCGGTTTCATTTTAATTTTTCAAGCATTTACGCTTCAAAATCGATTATCCTGATTTCTGTGTCCCAAATCTCTATCTTGATGTCCAAATAATTAGAAAAAAAAACCAACTAGCTAAATATTTTTCCTCCGTATACTCATTCTTACTGGCTTGACGCAAGCCCTTACAGGTTAACTTAGATGAGTGTAAAGATGCACGTACCGAAGAGGTCTTGACCTCAAAGTCACCTGAAATTCGGTCACGTGTACGCATTAGGGACTTGACCTAACCTTCCCCCCACCCCACCCACGCAGTCTGGACTTCTGTCCTGAAAAAAAATTTGTGATGACGTAGGCTAAAAAGCTTTTCTACTCAGTTGACGAAATTTTGAATCTCCTTTGATTGTAAATTAACAAAAATAAACAATTTTGGCGACGATATTTAATTGAATTAAATTTGGTTTATACAAAAGAGCTTTTAATATACCCACCACCTTTATGTTTATTGGCAATTTGTGAAGATTATTAGTGAATAACTTATTTCATCAGCATTTTTTAATTCGTTCATGCGGATAATTCAAAGTTTTTGTATATGTAAGAGTACGTCTAGTTAATTTTTCATAGCTAAGGTCTTTGTTATTTGTCAGTTGGAAATTCCCATATTTACGCCAAGGAGGGGGGGGGGTCATAAACTCCATATGCTCATTGCTTTAAGTGGTAAATATTTGAACTCATTCGAAGTATTTGTTCGAATTATTTGCCTTTCTGCTTTACTTGCGATCAGATCATATTGATTTATTGTTTATATGCTTTTTCGGGTCGCATTTCTCCCCCCCCCCCCAAAATCGTCGAAATTGACCAGTCTTTCCTTTCACGCTAGAAGAACTCTTCTGTACCCACTCAATCTTGTTCTGTTTCATTAACTACTGCGGTTATACCCTAATCTATTGACCAAATTATCGTGGATTTGGATGGTATTTCGAACTATTTTATGTACAGAGTAAAATGCACGCTTTCGGAACTACTTTAGTTCTGTTCCCCGAACCGTTTAAGCTCTGATTAGTTCAATATTACACTTAATTTTCCTTAACAAAAATTTTACTATCGTCGTATCGCCAAAGTGTTCTTTCCCCCAACGGAAGGCCTAAGTTTAAATACGATTTCTGACAGGCTCCCCCC